ACAGACATTACTCACAAAGTCCCCTCAGTGTGTGCATCACACAAGAGAAGGGGAAGAGCATGGTGCTCCAGTCCAGAGAGCCAGGAAAGCCTTCCCTGAGGAGGTAACACCTGAACTGAGATCTGAAGCATGAGCAGGATTAAAATAGCTGAAAGGATGCGGCAGGGGGAGAGCATTCAGGAACAGGAAGCAGCCTGTGTAAGGGGGTAAAAGGGAATGTGGCGCACATCTCAAGCAGCTGAAAGGCAGCCACACGAGGAGTAGTGTGTGATAGGGGAGAAGTAGACAGAGCAGGAGATGGGGAGGTACCACACTGATCAGGGCCATTATGAGACATGGCAGGAACACTTGTGTGACTTTTATAATTTGAGCTTGCGATACTGTTTTACAAATAAATCTACATTCTGTGACATGTATAGCAAACGTCTTAACTTTAGTATGTATTGGGCAGATTTTACTCTCAAAGGAAAACTAGAGAGAAAAATATTTCCTGTTTCTTGAACCCCTTACAGTTTAAAACCATACCACAGAGAAAATAGTTAACTCATAATTATATTTTCTCCCTTCCCTGTGTCTAAATGGTAAGGATTTCTGTAGTTGTGTAATTTAATTTATCGATCTATAAACTAATAACTTGGTCCCTTCAGGTTTTACAGTGAAGGTTCCTTCCTACTTGCAGGTTACATGCAGTTCTCATGTATGGACGCAAGGAGTGAGTCTGGCTACAGATGCGCCAGAGAATCTTACTGTTGGAAGGGATGTTAGAGGTCCTTTTGTCCAGCCCTCCTTCCTGTCTTCCTTCTGTTATGCTATCAGTTTGAGTCCCTCTCAGAGGCTCCTGGAAGATCCCTTTGTGAACACAGGTGTGTTTGGTTTTTCAGGAGTCATTGGTGATCAGGGATATGGCTGAGGCTCTTGCCCAATGGGGGCAGCTGAACCCTCCTCAGGGAGATGTGCCTGAGAAGCATAGGCATCTGGTCTTGCTGGGTAAGGTTGGCCTCCTCCCCCGCTTTGAACTTACCCAGTGTGGTACCTTTGCTTTCTCAGTTCCTAGGAGCTCTGAGAATCAAAGATTCTTAATCGCTGTGTAAGTCCTGAGACAGGCAATGTCTACTTTTGTTTCTGGATATATGTGTAACTCTCCCAGAGTTAGAGATGGACACCTTTTGACTGTATTTTCCTAGGTGGTAGCATCCTTCTTCTCTACTCCCTGACCAAGGATGTTGAGACAAAGTTCTAGTGCAGATACCTTTTAAGAAATGGGTGCTTGGGGCGCCTGGGTGGCTCAGATGGTTAAGCGTCTGCCTTTGGCTCAGGTCATGATCCCGGGGTTCTGGGATCGAGCCCCACATCAGGTTCCTGGCTCAGCGGGGAGCCTACTTCTCCCTTTCCCTCTGCCTCTCCCCCTGCTCATGCTCTCTCTCTGTATCTCTGTGTCTCAAATGAACAAATAAAATCTTTAAAAAAAAAAAAGGGTGTTTATTGTTTTAATAGAGAGAGGTAAAAACAAGTGACTTAGTTGTTTTGCTCAAGTAGACCCATATCCATCTTCCTACCTTCTGAGCACTGTTGAGGGAGAAATCTAGAACTGACCTCTCTCTTTCTTTCTCTCTCTCTCTTTTTTAAAGATTTTATTTATTTGACAGAGAGAGAGCCAGACAGCACAAGCGGGGGGAATAGCAGAGGGAGAGGGAGAAGCGGGGAGCCCAGTGCGGGACTTGATCCCAGGACCCCAGGATCATGACCTGAGCCGAAAGCAGACACTTAACTGACTGAACCGCCCAGGCTCCCCTCTTTCTTTCTCTTATACTATCTTCCCTAACGACCAAGGAAATAACGCTTGTTACCAAACAAATTTTTCTTTTCCCATGAACAGGGCTTCCAATTTCCAAGCCTGATGTAATCTCTCAGTTGGAGTGTGGGGAAGAGTTAGAGAGAGAAGTATCAAAAGCATCAGGTGAGTGATAACATAAAACCCAGATGGTCAGTGGGATCAAATGGATCAAAGCATCTTTGAGGTGCTTGTGGAGAAGCCTTTCCAGATTTCACTAGACCCATGGAAAAGTTGAAGTGAAGTCCCTTTCTCCCCATGCCACACTCCAGCTCTGTGGATGATCATCTTTTATAAATGCATACTTTTTAAATTTTTTTTTTAGAAAATAAGTAATTTCCACCCTTTTCAAACCTATTCTTTTTCCCAAATAAGGTAAAAATGAAGTCAACATTTTAATATTTGTTAATAATATGCTTGGGTATTAGGCTCTAAACCAGGCTTTTTCATATTATTTTTTATTTTATCTCTGCAGGATAGTGTGACTTTTTATCTCGGACCAATGACTAAAAATCGATCTCTGAGTTTCCCCTTGCCTTCCTCTTTATCTAAGTAGAGAAAGCATAGGGTAGTGGTTGCGTGCAGACTTTGGAACCAGTGTAAATGTGTTCAAAGCCAGTCTTAACTACTTACTAGCTTTGTGACCTTTAACAAGTGAATTATCCTCTCTGTAACTCACAGTCCTCAACTATAAAAGGGGGATAATGATAGCACTTAACTCATAGGGTTGCTGTGAAGATCAAATGAAATAATCCAAAAGAAATGCTTAGAGTAGTACCTGACCAAATGCTGAGCAAGTAATAACTATTGATTAAGTCCTGGTAAATTATTTTGAAAGATAACATGAATTTGACCTGATCATTTCTATCAAACTGGATACTGCAATGGACTACCTGCTAATTATACGTTCCTTAGTCTTACCCTTATCTAACTGAGGCAGCATACCACTGCTGGATTCCCCACTCTGCCAGTTCTGTATTCTTCTACCCTGCTTTCAAGGCTTTTGTTACTACCTGCCTAACCATTTCACCTTCTTTATCCTTCAGCTTGAACCCTTAACACCAGACAGGCAATCTCCTACTTTCCTCCATTAACTGTGTTCTCCATGGACATTTTGGGATTTAATTCTTCTGTTCCCCTTAGCTGAAAGTCCATTTGCCTTTAACCTGTTTCTACCCATTTGCCCTTTAAAATTCCAGGTACTTCCCTGATTATATGCAGTTGAGAACATTGTATTGTATTGATTTATTTCATATAGAGTCATGGTTGGAATGGATATTAAAGACCATTTAAGCCTGGAAATATTTAAACATTTTTAGCTTTTCTCCCAAAACTCTTACTAGGAAACCTAGGATTTGGGGCAGTTGTCCTGACAGGTTGGGAACCAATCTGAGCATCTAGGGATTTGACCCTTCTCCCTACATGCTGCTCTTTTTTTTCAAACTTCATTCTATTTAACTCTTTATAGGGCTTTTTTTTTTTTAAGATTTAATTTATTTATTTGACAGAGAGACACAGTGAGAGAGGGAACACAAGCAGGGGGAGTGGAAGAGGGAGAAGCAGGCTTCCCGCGGAGCAGGGAGCCTGATGCAGGACTTGATCCCAGGACCCTGGGATCATGACCTGAGCCGAAGGCAGACGCTTAATGACTGAGCCACCCAGGCGCCCCTCTATTTAAGTCTTTAAAGTTTGTTAGGTGTGGGGCAGTCAGAGGTGATCAGTTGCTTTTTTTTTTTAAGATTTATTATTTTATTTTATTTTTAAAATATTTATTTATTTGAGAGAGAGAGGACAGATGGGAGGGGCAAAGGGAGAGGGAGAGAGAATCCCAAGCAGATTCCATGCTAAGCGCAGAGCCTGACATGGGGCTCAGTCTCATGACCCTGAAACCGTGACAGCTGAAATCAAGAGTTAGATGCTTACTGACTGAGCCACCCAGTTGTTCGATTTGCCTCTTAATCACTAAGCTTTGTGATGATGTGAATTTGCTGAGCTGGACCACTTTGTTTCTTTGTTGTTGTTGTTTTTTATTTTTTTTAAGGTTTTATTTATTTGAGAGAAAGAGAGAGAGAGAGCGAGTGCACAAGAGCAGAGGGAGGGGCAGAGGGAGAGGAAGAAGCAGACTCCCCACTGAGCAGGGAGCCTGATGCGGGACTCGATCCCAGGACCCTGAGATCATGACCTGAGCAAAAGGCAGACACAACCAACTGAGCCACCCAGCACCCTGATCTGGACCACTTTGAATGCTAGCTTAGAGAATATGTGTCTCATCTTGGGTCCATGGAACCAACAGAGTTTTTTTTAAGGTTTTGAAGGTTAGTCTGTTAGCAGTGATTGGGAAATCCTGGGATGGGGAAAGATTGGTAGCAAGGAGATCAACTAACAATGGTCTTTCTCAAGACATGAGGTGCAGAGGCTCCAGTAAGAGATAAGAGTGGGCAATCCCTGTGAGACTGTCTTTTTCTGGCTCCACCTCACCCGTTTTTAAATCTTCTCTGCCATTTACCCACATGACCTCTGCCTAGTCTTAGTCTCTGTTATTCTTTCTCATCTCCTACCTGCCTAGATAGAAGAGTATTGAGTTCCTGCTCACTCTTTCCCTTTTGTGCAGTTGCATTTCTTTGCCCACTCACCTTTCTTTTCTCAAGTTCTTTCAGAATTGCAAAGCTATTTTTGAGAGCTTTCAAGTGTCTGTGTTCTCTTGTAAACATTTTTCATTATTTTCCTACCACAATAGTTATTTTTCTTTCCCGTGTAGGAAATGATACATGTGTATTTTTGTTTCTTTCAGACTGGGAGACAATACCAGAAAGCAAGGAGTTTACTCCAGAGCAGGGTATTTCTGAGGAAGAATCAGCCGCTGGTGTGTTAATAGAAAGATTTCCAAAGGAAAGTTCCAGTGAATGTGAGGATTCTTTAGAGAGTCAGGAGGAAAACCATGAGAAACATTTAATACAGGAGGTTGTCACTCAGAAGAAATCTTCTGGGGAGGGAAGTTACCAGTGTGATGAATTTGGGGGAAGTTTTAGTCAAAGATCATTACTTACTCAACAGCAAGGAGAGAGACTACACAACTGTGATTCATTTAAAAAGAACTTAAAATTCAGATCTAATGAGGCACGAGAAAATTTGTGCAGAGAAGAAACCTTGGAAGTGTAATGAGTGTGAGAAAGCCTTTAGTTACTACTCAGCTTTTGTCTTGCATCAGAGAATTCACACAGGAGAAAAGCCCTACGAATGTAATGAATGTGGTAAAGCTTTTAGCCAGAGCATACACCTTACTCTACACCAGAGAATTCATACTGGAGAGAAACCCTACGAATGTCATGAATGTGGGAAAGCCTTCAGTCACCGCTCTGCCCTTATTCGGCATCATATCATCCATACTGGAGAGAAGCCCTATGAATGCAATGAATGTGGGAAGGCCTTTAATCAGAGCTCATACCTCACTCAACATCAGCGAATTCATACTGGAGAGAAACCTTATGAGTGTAACGAATGTGGGAAGGCCTTTAGCCAAAGCACATTCCTTACCCAGCATCAGGTCATTCACACTGGAGAGAAACCCTATAAATGTAATGAATGTGGGAAAGCCTTTAGTGATCGATCAGGCCTTATTCAGCACCAGAGAACTCATACTGGGGAGAGGCCTTATGAGTGTAATGAGTGTGGGAAAGCTTTTGGCTACTGTTCAGCCCTGACTCAACACCAGAGAACTCACACTGGGGAGAAACCCTATAAATGCAATGATTGTGCCAAAGCCTTCAGTGACCGCTCAGCCCTTATTCGTCATCAGAGAACACACACTGGAGAGAAACCTTATAAGTGTAAGGACTGTGGAAAAGCTTTCAGCCAGAGCTCATCTCTTACAAAGCATCAGAAAACTCACACTGGAGAAAAGCCCTATAAGTGTAAGGAATGTGGAAAAGCTTTCAGCCAGAGTTCATCCCTTTCTCAACATCAGAAAACCCATGCTGGAGGGAAAACCAAAGAATATGGAAAAGCGTTTAGTGAGCATTCAGCCTTTGGCCAGCAAAAGAGAATTCATACTGGATAAAGACTATGTAAATGTGGTACATTCAGAACATATTTATCGAACAATTACTAAACACGGTGTGAGGGCTACAAAGGAATTTCAGCGTGTATTACACAAAAGATATTAATTGAGAAGTCATTGCTGATACAAGGCATAGCTTATTTAGAATGTGAAGGAGGGGTTTTACATTTTTTCAGTGCAGCAGAGGACTTTGAATTTCCTTGGGGAAAGAGGAAGATTATTTCCAACACTCTAAGGTGTATGTAAGCTTCCAAATCCTTGTGGGAGAAATAGGGTGTGCGATGATGCAAAGAAGAGATCTTCGCTGGATAGTCTCTTAATGCTAAGGAGATGAAGCTTTAAAGAGATGAGGGTTTCTTTAGGGAAATTGCAGAGGCAGAAATAAGAGATTGAGAATTCACAATGAGTTTGTCCAGGGTTTGGGAGTAGAGGTGGAAGGAAAGTTGTCCTTAGGCTTAAGTATAAGGTCACTTAGGAGATAGATGAGAAGGTTCGAGAAAAAGAACTGGGGTAGTGAACTCAAGAAATGTTGATTGAGATAACTACTCAAATTTGAGTGCTCCCAACCAGGGAAAATGTTAGACTCGTTAGTTGGTCAGGTGCAAAGTTTCCACCCTGATGCCAAGGAACGTTGGCCTGGCAGTCTGCTTCTGCGCTTTTTGTCTTGGAGACCTTGCTTATTGATTCACAGCTTGCTAAGAATCATATTAACTCCAGGGGTCAAGGCTGACAGCCTAGAAAGAGAAGGTATAGGAGGGACCTTTGATGTTTTCAGTCTATCTTAAGCTACCTATTTTAAGCTAAGTTACCTGAGAATATGCTTATTTATAAAGATTTTACCTCAATCGTATGTAGTTTGTACTTTAGATTTAGTCATACCATAGTCAAATTAAGTTGTAGACCTGAGCTGACACTGCCTATTGGATTGTGAAAGATTCGAAAAGGCTTTGAAATACTTACCTTTCACCATTTTATTCTTGGGTAGAGGCACATGACAGCCTTGTGTATATTTTTTTTCCATTGGAACTTCGAAGGTTATTGCATATTTTGAGTATTGTGTTTTTAGTTTTCACAAGTTTGATGATATGTCTTGATGTGGATTTCTTTGAGTTTATCCTGTTTTCTGAACTTCAATCTGTAGGTTTATGTGTTGGGGAATTTTTAGCCATCATTTCTTTGAACACATTTTCCAGCCCTCACTCCTTTTCTCCTTCCAGGACCCTGATGACACACATGTTAGATCTTTGTAGTCCCACAAGTTCCTGAGGCTCTGTTCTGTGATTTTTTTTTTTCCAGTATATTTTTATCTCAATCTGCTCAGGCTACTGTAACAAAATAATGTAGAATGGGGGGGCCCAAACAACAGAAATGAATTTCTCACAGTTTTGGAGGCTGGGAAGTCCAAGATCAAGGTGTCAGCTTTGGCCTCTGGTGAGGGCTCTCTTCCCGGATTGCAGAGGGCCACCTTCTTGCTGTATCCTCATGAGGCCTTTTTTTGGTGCTTGCAGGGGAAAAGAGAACTCTCTTCTATTTCCTATAAAGCTGCCAGTCCTATCTGGTTAGGACCCCAGCCTTATGACCTCATTTAACCTTAATTACCTCTGAGAAGCCCTGTGTCCAAATACAATCATTTTGAGAGTTAGCACTTCAACATATGAATTTGGGGGGCACACAATTCAGTCCATAGCATTCTGCCCCTAGTTCCCCCAAATTCATGTTCATGCAAAATACATTTGCTCCATCCCAACAACCCCTCAAATCTTAACTCATTGCAGCATCAAGTCTGAAGTCTTACCTAAATATCACATAAATCAGATATGGGTGAAGCTTAAGGTGTAATTTATCCTGAGACAAAATTCTTATTCAGCTGTGAATCTACGAAACCAGATAAGTTATGTGTTTCCAAAATATAATTGTGGGACAGGCATGTGATAAATATCCTCATTCCAAAAGAGGAAAGAAGGAAGGAGTGAGAGGTCCCCAGCAAGTCTAAAACCCAGCAGGACAAATTCCATAAAATCTTAAGTCTTGAGAACAGATGCTGTTTGGCTTGATGCCCCACCTTACAGACCCACTGAGGCAGTGATCCCACATTTTGGACCCACTGGTACAGCAGTCTCACCACTAAGGCTCTGCTGGCCTATTGAAACTGAGATGATGTCCCTACCCTTTGAAACAGGAGGCAGCAATGATCCTGAAATTGACTTGAGTCACTCTTTTTTTTTTTTGAAACAAAAAGCATGTTCATGGCTGAGTAGCTTTACTGTCCAGTCCTGTAGGATCTAAGAAGTCGGACAGTCTTCCTCCATTTGTCTAGTTTTTCTGTCCCTTGGGCCCAGCTGGCTTGTTTCTGCTGATATAATCCCTGGCTTCTGTGGAGATGCCTGAACTTAATCACACCCATGAGTCACACCCATGATCTCTTTTTCAAATGGTTGTTCAGCCACACCCTTAGTGTTCTCAGGCAGAACAAGCTTTCTCCTATTTTGCAACATGGGTGGATGGAATTTTCTAAATCTCCAAGTTCTAGGGTTTTGTTTTGTTTGTTTTTGTTTTTGTTTTTGTTTTTGCTTAACAAGTCTTCTTCAATTTATCTCTCGGCCTCTCCTATTTTGTTATAAGCAGTAAGGAGGGCCCGAGCTGCACCTTTAACACTTTGCTTGGAAATCTGTGTTGAATGTCCACAGTTTCTTTGCTCACAAGTTCTGCCTTTCACAAAACACTAGAACACCGTTCAGCCAAGTTCTTTACCACTTTACAATAAGGATTACCTTCCTTCCAGGTTCCAGTAATGTGTTCCTCATTTCTGTCTGAGATTTCATCAGAGTGGCCTTTAACATCCATATTTATAGTGTGCACCTCAAAACTCTGCCATCCTCTACCCATTACCCAGTTCCAAAGGTGCTTCCACATTTTTAGGTGTTTGTTAGAACAGTACCCCTCCTCTAGGTGCCAAAATCTGTTAATCTGCTTGGGGGTGCCATAACAAAATACCATAGACTGGGGGGCTCACACAACAGAAGTTACTTTCTCAGCATTCTAGAGGCTGGGAAGGCCAAGATCAAGGTGTCTGCTGATTGGTTTCTGGTAAGAAGGTTCTCTTCCTACTTGTAGATGGCCACCTTCTTGCAGTGTCCTCACAATCCTTCCTCAGTGCGTGCGGGCACAGAGAGAATTCTCTCTTCTTACAAGGCTACCAATCCTATCAGCTTAAGACCCCATACTTATGACCTCAGTTAACCTTAATTACCTTCTACAAACTCTTATCTCTAAATACAGTCACATTGATTAGGGCTTCAACATGAATTGGTGGTTGGGGGATGGTTAACACAATTCCATCCATGGTAATTTTCTTTCTGTTCAGATTTATATTATCTTCAACTTCACTGATTCTTTCCTCTGCTTCTTCCATTCTGATGTTGACTCCATCATTGGATTTTATTTCAGTGATAGTTTTCAGTTCCATTTGATTCTCTGTATTATATTTCTTTAGTGAAACTATTTTCTAAATTTGTGTCAAGCATGTTTGCCATTGCTCATTGAGGCATTTTATGATGGCTGTTTTAAAATCTTTTATCAGGTAATTCTAACATCTGTGTCATTTTGGTGTTGGCGTCTGTGGGTTGTCTTCTCATTCAAGTTGAGATTTTCCTTCTGTGTGTGCTGACAATTTTCAGTTGAAATCTGGGCATTTTGAGTATTATGTTATGAGACTCTGTCCTATTTAAACTTCTGTTTGGGCAGGCCTCTGTGGAGAAAGGGTTGAGGGGATACTGCTTATTACTGTAGGTTGGTGTTGGAAGTGCAGGGAAATCATTGGCCTCTACTGACACCTGGATAGGGGGCCTCACTCCGCCAGGTAGGGGTGGGGGTGGGGGTTACAACTCCCTACCAGACCTCTACTGACACCACACCAGCAAGGAAGGGGAGAGACGTCTTGTCTCTGGGTAGGATTGGAAGCCTACTCCCCACGTCGTCTTCAGTGGACACTGCCAGGATGGGATGGGGAAAGAGTTGGTTTGGAAAATTCTGTCCTGACTTGACCCTCTCAATACTACTGTGGTGTGGGGGTGGAGCATTGAGGAGCCTCGTTACAGACTGGTGAGGGTAGAAGTGTAGCCTCCCCACTTGGTCTTGGGTCTTCGGCTGGAGTAGGTTGGTTATTGTCTAAAAGTTTTCTGTCTTCCTAGGCCACTTCTTTCCTCATCCTTTTTCCAGAAAGAACAGACTTTTCTTGCCCCCCCTGCCCTTTTTTTTTTTTTGGTCTGTGCTCATTGGCATTTCTCGGTTGCCAACTTCTTCTGAATCCAGTCTGGGATAGATGAGGCAAAAGGAAAACCCAAGGACCTCAGTGCTGTGGTGTTCTTCAGGTACTGAGGTCCCCAACTGGTCTGCATTCTCTCCACCTTTCAGAATCTTATGTTGTTTTATACAGAATGTCCATGGTTTTTAGCTGTACTTTAAGAAGTAGGGAAAGGCACTACTACATATTCCCCATGACATCCTTTCATTTGACACCAAAATAGCAGGTCAAGTTGTTGTCAAATTTTTGTGGCATACATAGGTCATTTGCAACCAGTTAGGATTAAGTACCAAGAGGAGTGCTCACTTGTTCTTCAATATAAGTTACCACGTTGGTAGGTAGGAACTACCAGGCTGCAAGCTTCATCTAGCTTTCAAGGAACTATAGTGTTTAAGTTGAGGAAATGCCAGTATTTAATTGTAGATTATAAATTTCAGAAGGAAGGATAGATATGATTAAGAATATAAACACATAAACTTGTGTTAATTTTTTTAATTTATAGCTTTGTTCCAAGAGCATGTAAAAACCACTGGAGAATTGAATTCAGAATTTTGGTGTGTTTTTTCTTCTATAATGTATTACCTGTATGTAGATATCTGTTCATTTTAATTTGATATATAACACAGGAAATCATAGAGAACCAACAAAGAATGAAAATAATTGGGATTTGGGACAAATCACTTCATCCTTTTAAATCTGTTTCCTCATTTGTATATTTTTTAAAAATGTAATACCTCCTTCAGAGTGGCTAGACTATGTAGATAATGGATGCAAAGTGATTTGCAAGCTATCAAGTGCTCTATAACTATTAGGTATTGTTGATATAGTCATTTAAGACCTGTTCATCATGTATACTTTATGATGGTGTAGTCCAATAAAAATGATGAATATAATGGAATGTGTCTTTTTATATTTTCTTAAAAATAACTTTTCTTGGACAGAAGTAAAATGTGCATCTTTTGAGATGATCATATGGTTTTCTTTAATCTGTTAATGTGGTACATTATAATGATAGATTTTTTTTTTTAATGATAGACTTTCTAATGCCAAAGAATACTTGCATTCTTGGCATTATCCAACTTAATGATTTTTCCCACTTCTGGAAGAGTTTGTTAAGGTTCTCCAAAAACACACAACCAATAGGATATATATATTCTATTGGATAAATAGTGATATTTATTATAAGGAATTGACTCATGCATTTATGGAGACTGATGTGCCATGGCCTGTTGTCTACAAGCTGGGGACCCAGGAAAACTGGGAGTGTCATTCCAGCCCAAGTCCAAAGCCTGAGAACCAAGAGCACCGAGGGCAGAAGACCAATGTCTCAGCTCAACAGTCAGGCAGGGAGAGCTAATTCAGCCCTCGGCCTTTTTGTTCCATTTAGGCCCATAACATAGTGGACGATGCCCACCCTCACTGGAGAGGCACTCTGATTTTCTCAGTCCCCCAATTCGAATACTAATCTTTTCTGGGAACACCTTTACAGACACACCCAGAAATAATGTTTAACCAGGTATTTGGGCATCCCTGGCCCCATCAAACTGATACATAAAATTAACCATTACACCAATATATTTTTACCAGTTAGTCTTGTTCTATTTGCCTTTCCCCTCTTCTTTCTTGTTTTCTTTCGGATTGATTAATAAGTTTTATTTTTTACTTTGCAGGTTTGAAATGTATATACTCTGTTTCTATTCTTTTTAATGGTTATTGTTAACATTGTTAACAAGCTGAATTATATTAAAGCACGTTTAACTGAAACTCTAAAATTAATATCATTATTGTTCCTACAACAACATTAAGGACCCTAGAAGGTTTTAACTTCAATCATAACTGTATCAATTATTGCTGCATAGCAAACCAGTCTAAAATTTAGTGTGTGTGTTTTTTTTAAGATTTTTATTTATTTGAGAGAGAGCGGGAGCATGAGTGGGGGCGGGTGGGGCAGAGGGCGAGGGAGAAGCAGGCTGCCCGCTGAGCGCAGGGCTCCATGCGGGGCTCAGGACCCCAGGACCTTGAGATCATGACCTGAGCCAAAGTCAGACACTT